ACGAGAAAATTACATATATTCTAAGGTTTTTGTGTGTAGTCATCAGACATGCATAAACCAATTCTATGCTGTGTGGATCTTAAATTAAGAACATGTTTATTAAACTCAACTGATCTTGTGAGAAAAGCTGTACATATTTTATATATGATCTATCGTAAAACGTTTAATTTTATTGTAATCTTTATTAGATTCGTTAAAAAAGGAATGGAAAATGCTATAATTAAAATGATTACAAAATAAAGTACAATAAAAAATGATTTGCATATGATCCAAGTGAGCTAATTTGAATCAAGGCTCTCTTTTATTAAGCAATAAACAATGCAACAGTTATATTAAGTAGAGTGTGTCAAATTCGTTGTATTAACCTAAAGAAATACCGCTCAAATGACTCTTGTTGTTGTTGTTGTTATTGTTGGTTGTTGGCTGTTTGTTTGCCCGTTTGGCAGGTGCAGTTTGCAGTTTGCATTCGCCAGTGTTTGTAGCTGTTTCTAGCCGCTGCTGCTGCTGCTGCGCTGCTGTTGTTGTTGTTGTTGTTGCTCATTAGTTTTTTGCTGCCACAAAGTCTACGTCTGTTACCATTTTGGGCTGGCTGGGAATCAGGCGCTGGATTAGCCAGCCAGAGTTAAGAGTTAAGAGCTAGGAGTTGAAGTTGGAGCTTGCTGCTTGCAGCTTGGAGCTTGGCGTTCAGATAGATGGCAATGGCAAAAGGAAAATCGAAAATCGCTCCATTGCAAGTGTGGGAAAACTTTTATTTCAAGGTTCAAAAGACGCCCGCAGAGTGTGAAAAATAGTCAAAGAAATAAATACAACACATATGTGGATTTTTTGTTGCTGTAAGCAAGTGTGAACTTAGGTTAGCTGCCCCCACGGCGTATGCGCAATGCAATAAATTCAGATGTGCAAACGGCCAAAAGCGTTGTATTGTGTGTGTGTGTGTGTTGGTGTCGGTAAGCATTGCTCATACGCCATGTTGTTTCATAATTATAACTTAAATACGACAGTTTTATATAAAAATCCACTAGTAAATCAATGTGCGCGCCTGCCTGGCAATTAACTGCCAAGAAACGTAACAGACATAACGACGAGTCGGTTTGGTGGTGCACCAGCGGTGCAGTGGTGCAGCCAAGCACGTCGCCAGCTACAGTCAGATAGACGTAGAGACAGACAGACAGACAGACCGACAGAGCGACAGCTACTAGCTGGCTAGCTAGCCAGCTAGCTAACCAAGCGAACTGTCAATTATAACCAATCGCACACCAAGTGCACATTAAACCCTATCAACTGTTTCTTTTTATTTATTGTTTGGTTTTGCCAACAAGTCGCATTTGGTGCGAGATCCGCATTGCAGCCACCACACAGCACCACACAACACCACCACTAATACTGCTGCTGCTGTTGCTGCTGCTGCTGCTGCTGCTGCTGCTGCTGCTGGGCGCTGGCTTGCTGCAGTCTTTTTTGGTTTGATCGTCTTGGCCTCATCATAATTATCACTGGCTGCTCGGGCGGCACGTTCAACGCAATCGCGCAGCAAGCAGTAAGCAGCAAGCAGCGAACTGTGAGCAGCCGCCAGCGGCAAACAGCTTCCAGCCAAAGTCAAATGAGCAGTTTATGGCCAAGACGACCATTTTGAAGACGCGCCAAAGGAGCCAGCCACCGCACACATTAACTTGACTCTCTGGTTATATATTTTGTGAGTGTGTGTGTGTGTGTGTGTTTTGGAGCCACCACTTGGGGCAACATTCACTTTTTTTATTGCACCACTTTGGCAATAGGCACAAGTGTGATTTCAAATCTCTGGGTCGCCTCTAAATTGGCAGAAATATGAAGTCAGCGTGTGCATTTCGGGTAAAAGCGGTGATTATATATATTTATGTGCATGTATGTGTGTCTCTCTGTATGTGTGTGTGTGCCGCGTACGGAGAATGGACATTTTTGTGGGATTTTTTGTTGTTGTTGTTGTTTTTGTTTTTGGACACCAAAATATATGACAGTCAGTCGCCTGCTGATGCTGGCCACATAATGCGCATTAGCATATTGCCTAGTGTGGAATCACTCGGCTCTCTGCGCACTTATTGCCAAAATGAATGGCTCCCTTCTAAGCGCTGCAATTGCAAATGGGCCGGCAACAACTAAAATGGCAGCAAACGACGAAAAAACAAAATGCAAACGGCACTGTGGGCTGACGTTGATGGCCAGTTCAATTAAATGCCATCAATTTTAATAACACGAAAGCCTCTGCAAGGGGATAGGGACGGAGAGGGAAAGAGCGAGAGAGAGGTGGGGGGGTGGGTAGAGACTGGACTGTTTTTTTGCTACCTTGGGCGCTATTCAGCCAAATGCTAGCATGGAAATTACAAATGCATCAGTCCAGCAAAAAAAAAAACAGCTACCACAACAACAACAACAGCAATAACAACAAAGTTCCTGGTCTGAGGCGCATGTGTAGACAGTCTCTGGCTCTAACGCACTTGAAGCACTTGAGGCTAAAACAGCCGAGCAGCCAGTTGACGGTCAGTTTTCGACTGCAACTGCGTCAGAGCGACGCGAGTCGCTGTGGCCCTCGGTCATTTTTTGTTGCAGGGGGCCTCAGACAAAGCACTTAAGCTTGGGTCACTCGTACAGCAACACCAACAACACCAGCAACACCAACAACACCAACAACAACTACAATTTCAACACTAACGGCGACAGGCAACCAAAACGAGAAGAGCTTGAAAACAAGTGAAAATTGAAAGCAGTAGCCGCAAGAAAGCAAGAAAATAACAGCCAAATGAAATATCACGGCCACAAAATGTATTCAAATATTTCAGATAAACACAACATTGTTGTAATTAGTTAACTTTTTAATATATTTATGGATATTTTTTTAATGCTGATTTGATTAAAACTATAAAATCATGGTCACAAAATATTGAATGGTAGTTAAAAGAATTTTGTCCACTTAAATTCTGAGTCATCGCACGAGAATATCCCTGCAAATGTATAAAGAAAAGTGAATATTTAATTTGATGTCCAACAAACAACACCAACATCAAGCAAATGCAAAACCTGATCAAGCAATTAGGCAAATTTCTATAAATGTATATTCAAATGGTGAGGGCAGGAATATAAAGTTATAACCATGTAAATGGGCCATAAATTTGCACATACCATCGTTTGAATAATCACCGAATCCGAAACATTTTGTATAATATCATAATTTTCAGTCCATTTTCGGCATTCATTAATATGTATAGGCCAAGGCTAAAAGCTCGAAATATTCGTCATTCATTTCAAATTGGCCAATAATATAAAGAAATTGCAAATGTAGAAGAAGACGCGGCCAAGACAAAAATAACAATAGAAAGACAATAAATGAGTACAATAAAGAACTAAGATTCAAAAAACATTTTAAAATGAAATAATTTAGCAATTTATAAAAATTTCAGAGAGACTTTTTCAATAATGGTCTTGTATTTTATAACACAAGTTAGAAACTGAATAAATCAGTATGCTAAGCAGAGCCGTTGAGCACTTCATAAAAGGCAATGTAAGAAATGAGAACGATTCTATTAAAAATGTAAACTATAAATATAATCAATGATTCTATATGAAAAATCGAACCGTAGCTCAAGCTGCCTGCTCAATATTCATTATTCAATCGGAACTAGAAATATGTGTGCAGCACACAATTCCACTTCACTCTCAAATACATTTTGTGGCAAACCAGTCAAGCCAAGTCAAGTCAAGTCAAGTCAAGTGCTTCTCGTGCCGCCAAGCGAAACTTTCATATGAACCCTTAAAAAAGAAGCCGTCTCCAAAGGAATGACACACAGAGCGATCAAGACAGAGACAGAGAGAGATAGAGAGATAGAGAGAGAGAGGGAGAGGGAGAGGAAGAGAGTTGGTCGAGGGCAGGGGGAAAATTGGCAGCCGTCAGGCAGGCATCGTGTCAGGCAGTGGTTGCTTGTTTGAGGCAGCTGCTGTTGCTGCTGCTGCTGTTGCTGTTGCTGCTGCTGTTGGCAATTGATGTCGCGGGCGCCAAAATCGACACACTTGTCCCTGTAGGGGGAGGGGGAGGGCAACGGGGCAACGGGGAATACACTGTGGCAAGTCTGCCTTTCTGCGGCTGGCTAGCAATCGGCGCCGCTCAAGTACAGGTTAAATGGATCACGACTGCACGGATTTGATGTCCGTCTGTCGCCGCCATCAGTTTGTCCGCCTGTCTGAATACCCCATAAAATACGCGACATGCAAACGTTTTTGATGCAGTTCGGCCCCGGCAAAAATTAGGAAATTGTCTACAACTGTTAACTGACAAGGCAAAGTGTTCCAGACAGTTACAGTTGCGAGTTGCGAGTTGCCAGTGCCAGTTGCCAGTTGCTAGCAGCGAGTTGCGAGTTGCGAGCTGTGATTTGAAGTTTGACTCTTTGCTTTTAAGCTGATTTTTATGCCAATAGTCTGGGCTTAGATTTAACGAGTCTCATTAAGCTTAAAACTCAACAGTTTGGCCATTTTGTTTAACTGACTTTCAATTGCCTCTTTCAATTGCAGCGAGTACCTCGCACGCCACCACCACCAACAATAATAGTAGCAGCAGCAGCAGCAGCAACAGTAAAACTGCAACCAAAGCGGCCGCCAGCAGCAAGGCTTACAGCAGCATCGGCAGCAACAACAACTATAGTAATGGAAAGCAGGCGAGTTGCTCATCCTCCGCCGCTGGCTATGCAAATGCATCCACGATGGGCGCCTTTGGGCGTCAGCACCAGCACCAGCAGCAGCAACAGCAGCAGCAACAACAGCAGCAGCAGCAGCAGCAACAATTATACGCTTCTGGGGTTTCCAAGTTGCCATTCTCGCCATTCTTTGCCGCATCGCCGTTCTTCTTTACGTATCGGCGCATTAGCAAACAGGAGGACAACAACAATAGTTGCAGCTACAACAACGGCACCAGCAGCACCAGCAACACCAACAGCGCCAGCAACAGCGCCAACAGCAGCAGCAGCAGCAGCGCTGCTCTGATGAAGGACTACGATCGCAAATTTAGTTTGCTGAGTCTCTTCAAGAATCCCTACAAGTTCACCGATGCTCAGTCGTCACGCAAATGCTCCACGACGAGTGGCAGCAGCAGCAGCAGCGCGAGCAAAGCGGCAACTATTGCTGCCAACACTGGCGCTGTCTGCTCGCCGAGCTGGAAGAGCTATGCGGGCGCGGGCTCACCGCATGCTGCACTTAATCCCGCCTTTGGGGGCATGGCACTCGGAGGCGGCGGCGGCGGCGGCGGCGGTGGAGGTGGGGCGCGCAAGGACAGCAGCAGTTTTAGCGGCATCAATTTCGGTGGCAGTGGTGCGGGCAGCGGTGCAGCGTTCAGTCGCGATGCTGCATCCAATGGCGGCGGCTACAATGATCTCTCCAAGAACCGCAAGGTACACAAGTGCGATACCGAGGGCTGCGACAAGGTCTACACCAAAAGTTCGCATCTCAAGGCGCACAAGCGCACGCACACAGGTGAGTCGGCTGGGGAGAGAGGGATGTGAATAGGAGTGGCGACTCCTTGTGGCACACTTGGTATATTAAGTTGCAAATTCAATTTAATTTTTTTTCCTGTCAATTTTGAATATTTTCACTTCTTTGATGTTTCATCATGATTGTTCCACTTTTATTTCATCAATTAATTTTTGCCTTGATATTTTTTCACTTTCTAATGTTTAAGTTTTACTTTTAATGCTCGATATTTTGTACTTATTATTGTTGAATCATATTATTTTGCAGGTGAGAAGCCGTATGTGTGCACCTGGGAGGGCTGCATCTGGCGCTTCGCCCGCTCCGATGAGCTGACCCGCCACTACAGGAAACACACGGGCGTCAAGCCCTTTCGCTGTCAGCTGTGCACTCGGAGTTTCAGTCGATCCGATCATCTCTCGCTGCACATGCGACGCCACTGAGCCACTGAGCCACGGAGCCACTGAGCCACCGGCCATATGGAAATATGCATACATACATATATACTCACTATAGCCACGCGACGCCCATGCCCATGACCACGCCCACTTCAACATCACACACATAGTTAGGAAAGAAGCCCTCAAATGAGGCCATTTCTTGTTTTGTGACGTTTTTTTCTCTCCTTATTATTTATAAAACTTCTGTTTCATGCATCATTTCGTTCAGTTTTTATGTCGTAACGCTTAAGTAGCTCAATTTAGTTGGATAAGCGGGCTCAAAGCCCAGACTAGCAAATAAGACTGTAGTTTGTAATGGAAACGAAAAGAATTTGTAAAATTTTTGATACCATCTAAGCAGACGTTGCCTTCAAGAAGCCAAGTTAAGAAAAATACTACGAGTACTACGAGTATATTCACAAATTTACTACTACACTACCTAAAAACAAAACCATAACCACAAAAATACAAAACAGATATTGATAAATGCATATATATATATATATACATATATATATATATTGAAATTGATATTGATATTGATTAGTATGCCTGTATAAGTATATATATTTGTATTTGGTGCTAGCAACTTGTGTGTACATAAACTAAACGCGATACGTTTTACATATCCATTATACATTAGCCAGTAATATAAGGTTTAACTAATTTTAGCGCAAATTTTTATATATCGGATGTTAAGTAGAAAATTTTATACACAAAATGGTAGTGAAAAGAGCAGCAAAGCAGACAAATCAAAAAGAGAACAGACACAGAAGAGGCAGCTGAAGCCAAGCAATATTTATAAATGACAATAATACAATAATATGCTTATTAAACTCTCATATTACTTACTTATATATTTTTATAAAAACACTTGTACCATACGGATATGGTTGCAGTTGTGCTGCAGTCGCTTCCAATCAGCTCATCTATTAATTACACACAGCAAGTGTGTTTCAATTTGCATATCTAAATTCAAGTTTTTATGGCGCTTATCTGCTTAATGAAAGCAAATCCAATAACGAATGTTTCCATGCAAGATTCTTATTGTATTTTATTATGCTGACATACAAACTAGCTAAGTGTTTAAAGTGGTTTGCTTTTATTTAATGTTTTTTTCTTCTTCTTTTTCCTGCTAACAGCGCTTTCAACTTTTTAAATATTTCACATTTTTCAAAAATATTTTGATTTTCCAAATTGTATTAAATTTGTTAGTTTCTATATTCAGTTATAGAAAGTTTTATCTGCTTTCTGTTGAACTTGCTTAACTTTTCCGCATTTCAAAACACACAGATCAGCGTCGATAAATCCATAGGATGGAACGACTGCAACAGCAAACCGAAGAGCCTGCAACTGCCACATACTAGATTTAAACGAGCCACACAGCAAAATCAAACTCAAAAGCATAACAAACACAAACCCACAAAAAAAAAAAACAAAACAAAACATAAAAAAAAAATCGAGAAAAGAGAACAAAGTGTATTATTTTTGTACGCCAATACCTTATACATGCCTACAATACAATATTTTTTTTCGCTGAAAATAAAAATAAAAATAAAAAAAGACCTTTTTGTACCATAAACACAGAAACTCACATGCTGAGAGGCTAACAAACATATTTATCTGAAGCTGGTAGCTGATAGCTTGTAACAATAACAACGGCAGCAAGAAACGGTCAGCTCATTAAGCCAGACAACAGGCTGGGTTCCCAAATCCGCTGTGGATTTTTCATTTAAATGAAAAATCAATTGAGCGCACAATGGCCAGCTACCAAGTGGCTCGGCGTCCGTGTCCCTGTCGACTCTACTACTACTACTACTACTACTAGCGACTAACCACACTAAGCCACTAACCACAGAGTCCAGAGCTTAGTCCAAAGATGTGTGGCAAGTTGTCAACAGCCAAAGCCACAACGCAGCCTTTGTTGTGTGCTGCTGTGTTGCTGTGTGTGCTCGCCTCTGGCCAGACTCTATTCATCCACAGCCATAGTCACAGTCACTGCCACAGCCACAGCCACCGTCTCGAGTCCAAGCCCCGGTCCGGTCTGGTCTGGTCCGGTCCGGCCCCATTGGATTGGGGTCCAGAGCAGTGTGGCACGCACCCGCCAATTGTCCAGGGGAGCATTGTCGTCGTTTGTCGTCGGCTGTGCGCGCGTTGTTTGCAATAATAAAGATGACAAATTTCTCGTCATTTGTAATTTCAATGCGAAGCCTTGGATTGGCTTCTCTTTTTCAATTTTCATTTTTTTTTTCTTTTTGTGTATTTTTTATTTTTTATTTCGTTGCTTTTTTCGCTAATACGCGCAACTGGTTAGAGCAGCCAGCTGTTCGGCCTCTCTCTTTCGCTCGCTGCGATGACACCTGCAGCGGAAATCAGTGCATGAATAACGTTTTGGTCATTAAGCTGAAATTGTGAAATATTACGTATACGCAGCCGGCAATTTATTGGTAAATTAATAATAATAATATACACAGTCGACAGACAGTAGCTGAGCTGATCTGCTGCTGTTGCTGCTGTTGTAGATGGGGCCACATTTAGCATAAAGGTTAGACATATATAACATACCGGTTTTTTGGGTTAATTAATATACTACTCCCATGTCTATTGGCTGTATGTATGTCTAAAGCATTCATACACACACATATATACATACATCTATGTATGCCTTTCGGCCAGGTCATCTTTTGGGCTGTGAGGCTGACGCCAGGTTTAATGACCCGCAGCATGCAAATGAGTAAAAGTAAAACAATCGAACCATCAAAAACGACACTGAGTGCAATAATTCTGTAGACGAGTGCGCCCTATTATTATTTCAGCAGTAATAAAATATTAAAACATAAATATTCATGCCTGCAGCAAGCTGTTACATCAAGGTAAGCAATTATTATGAAATAGTTTCATTTCTTTAATAAATAAATAATATTCAAATATTCAATAAAGTTGCTTTCATTTTAGTAATGTAAATATTAAATGTTAAAGGAATCATGGAACATTAAATGAGACTTAATATTGCCAAACTTTATGCATTCTAACGGCAATAAATATTTAAATTTATTGCGATGTTCACTGAGTTTTAATGCAGTCATATATTCTTCAAAATTATGATTATTTTACTACACAATTATCCTTCAGTTCAGACTTGTACAATAACCTAAATCATTCGCCTTATTACCACTAATTAAGATGTAAATTGCAGGCTTAAGTACCATAAAAATGATACAATAAAAGTTGCGCAAAATCTATAAAAACAAAATTTTGCTTTTATGTGGCAATTAATGAACGTGAGATTCAAATTAAAAAAAAAAGAAAAAAACATTAAAAATATAACTATTTGATCTAAACCAAATTATTTTTGGAGCCGTGTAGCATGCCTCCAATCTGTAGCCTTGACATGCATTGAATACACACACACACACACACAAACACAAACACGGAGTGCTCATTAAAAGCCAATAAAGCAGCAGCAGCAGCAGGCAGCAGCAGCCGCTGCAACTATGCATCAGCCAACGTGTCCATCAAATGTTGCCTGCCACTTGGATCGCGGATCTTGGATCTTAGCAGCAACAATTCGAATTCGGGATCGATGCTGTCCATCAGCCAAAAAAAAATAAAAATAAAAATAAAAAATAAAAAGCGCTCCAATAAGCAAATCGCACGCGGCAGGTGGGCAGCAAGGAGAGGCAGTCAGCGACTGGCAGGAGAACAGCCTGTTGCCAGCTAGGCCAGCAGCCAGTTGGCCATTTTTAATTTATTGTTATGCCTTTTTGCTGCCGCTGCTGCTGCCGCTGCTGCTGCTGCTGGTCGGCAGGTCATGTGCAATTTATGAAACTGTGCGACTTTAGCGGCCTGATTTTTGAGACACATTTGGACGACTGTCGCAACGGCGGCAATATCAACTGTCTCTCTCTCTCTCTCTCTCTCTCTCTCTATCAGTGTGCCTCTCGCTTCCTCTCTGTATCGGTCTTTTTGTTGTTGGTTTGCTGCTTCTGTCCGTTTGATTTGTGATCGATTGTGTGTCGTTACTTTGCGACATGGGGCATGAAATCTTTGACACCTAACGGTAACTGCCAGGCCAGGCCAGGCCGAGTCACACTCAAACACACACACACACACACACTAGCGCCCCCGTCGCCAGCTAAGCCTTTTAGCTGTGTTAGCTGTGCTAGCTTCTGCATTAAATTGGAACAGTCGCCGTTGTCACTGAGCAACCACCAACAGCACCACCACCACCACCACTAGAGACAGAGACAGAGTTTGTCAGCGCGTTGCCAAAGTGTTGGCAGTTTTGCCATTTATTTTACAGGTGAGTGAGCATAATGGACAGTTGCAGTTGCAGTTGCAACGATGTGGGCCTTTGGCAACATGCTGTGCGCATTGGCTCAATTAAAAGCGAGGCAAAATGAAAAAGAAGTTGGCCTGGGCCACGTTAGGCTGCCTCATTTGACAATTGCCAATTGCCTAATAGAGGCAAAATGGCCAATAGTCAACGAGGCCGGCAATCTACTATCTATCCATGTGTTAGTTGCTTGAACTCGTCATCGTTTTGTTTTTGTTATTGTTTTTGTTTTTGTTATTGTTTTTGTTATTGTTTTTGGTCTTCTATCCAGCTGACCGCCGCCGTTTTCTTTTCTTATAATTTTGTTTAGCGCAAAAATGCTTAAATTAAAATTCCCATCACACCACAAAAACCCATAAATCATCTTTTATCTAAGCGAGTCTATCGGCGCATGCGCGCGCGCCAACATTCAACTTGGAGCGAGGAAAAAGTCTTCTCATAAATATACATATATATATATATATATATATATATATATATATAGATATATGTGTGGGGAAAATGATGCTGTCTGCATTGCCAGATGGAGGGGTTATGGGAGAGGGAGGGTGGGCTGGCACTGGGAACCTGGGGACGACTGAACCTGCTTCGTTGCCTTAATGAGAATTTAATATTTTTCAATAAAAATTTGTAAAAGGCGCGTTTTGCCTGTTTGTTGCCGCTGCTCACCGCTAGGCGGCGTCCATTTCCCTGCCTCCACAAATGCAGACGCTTAAGCCAAGTTTGTGCGTGTGTGTCTCTGTCTGTATGTGTGTGTGTGTCTGTGTCTATGTGTGTGTGTGTGTGTCTGTGTGTGTGTGCTTTGTGGCTATTAACGCACTTGTGTTTGGGGCCAGAGTTAGAGCTAGGCGACCGTTTGGGTCGTGGTCGTGGTCGTTGTCGGGTCTCTTGATTTGGTCTGTTTGCCAGTGGCGGCATCAAAAAGGATTAATTGATATCAGTCAAAG